GCCTCCCAGCCGCCTATCTGGTTGAATCAAAGGATATGTTGAAGAGTAGCGTTACTACGCATCATTCGCTTATCATTCATTAGAGTTTGGGTCAGATCTCAGCATGGACTCAGCTTCTGCAACTGCAAGCTAATATTCAAAACAAATGACGGTAAAAAAAAACATCGCATAACCAGCAAGCTGTGTCATTCGAACGTCAAGTGCTGCCAGCACTTTTTGCAGCTCTGTGGATACGGGCATTTATTCTCTCTTCATATACTAAAGCCGAGATAGGGCACAGATGAAAAACAACCGAAGATTGAGAATAGAATGAAAAATGAGAAGAAGAAAAGGCACAGACGATCTACAACCATGGCGGCAAATTTCCAGTCGTCTTCGACATCTTTATTTCTTTCAACTTCTCTGATTTCTTCGGTTATCGCCTAAAACTGGGACAATCAAATTTTTGTTGATGTCGTGAGATACATCGAACATACCGATAAAGTCTCATAGATTTCATTGAGTATTACCAACTGCGTAATTTGCTCATGTGTTGCCTGAAACTTGAGAATACCGTATGCCTTCCTACAAAAAAGATCCTACCATAAAATTTTGCATTATTGTGCGGTTAAAATCTTACCTGTTTTAGATGAGCAGGACGATCCTGAATTCGTTTATTGTTACGCCAGATTTTTCGCTTGTCGTCCACAGTGAGCGGCTCACATTCATCAACAATGGTCAATCTGTCGAACTTGAATATCAGTTTTACTGTAACTTTGAAGAAATGTCCTTCTATAGTTTAGCGCAGACAGAAGACTTGGAAAACCTTAGCTGTGGATTCAAATGTTGTTAAACTTAACAACCAAAGTTCATGGGTTTCGTTATGAGTGAGCGACTGACTTAATTTTGAATTTTGCGCGAAAATTTGATATTGTGCACAAATAGTAAGACTATCCATTAGAAAATGATATTGGTGAGCAATGAGGTCTTCCCGCATTTTTCAAGATATGTTGTTAATTCTGTAAAACTGGCAATATTCCCAAACTTTTGGAAGCAAATACTCAGTACTCTAAAATTACTCTCTATTTTGAAATTGGGCGATAAATCCGATTTACATAGAAGGCTTGGAAAAAAATTGATTTTAAATGTTGTAAAAAGCTTGTTTAAAGTTCGTAAATCCAATCTCCTACTCAGCGAGCGTCGGATGCGACTTTATGAATCAGAACGGAAATCTTGCACTGGTCGCGAATGAAGAATGGCCAAGAACTTTATCACTGAGATTTCTGTATGCAATTTCCTGAACTGATTTGCAAC